CTTCTTGTACTGGTTGTGATGTGACAGTGGGGCAGATATCGCAGGTGGATGGGGAAGGCAGACTTGCCAGGTGCTTCGATAGAATTGGGGCTCTCTTAACCTTTTTTTTCTTTTTTACCCTGATCGGATTTGCTTAAAATCTAGATTTGTTTTTTCCTTTTCTTGAATTCTGTTTCCATCGATCATATGCAACTTATTTTGAATTATGTTGATGAAGATGCTGCTGGTGATAATTATGTCACAGCGATAGAAATGGTATAGAAATATTCCTGTTAGCACGTCAAAGGCGCAGGCTTCAGGAACTTACTAGGAAAAAATGAAATGTAATAGAGCAAGAGGCTGAATCTGGTTTCGAACGGATTGATTGAAGGCTGGTGCCTCTGTAATTAGTGCTCAGCCCAGATTGTTCAAGACAGTCTTCCATTGTCCACGAGAAAGTGGTTGTCTCAGATAGGTGGGTGTGTCTTGAACAGTGTCGTTATTGTGTGTGTCACGGCGACGCGGTGGAATCAGGCGCTCGTCAGTTTTTCTGTCCCCGTCGTTTTATGCAAGAAAAATTCTGAAATTATGCAAACTGAGCCCAAAAATGGGAAATTATGCGATTCTGTTCATTTTAACAAAGAACGATAAAGGAAAATAATCAGAAATTATGCAAAAAATGATCAAATTTTGCTAAATTATGCAGGGTGCATAAAACCATGGGGACCGATTTTTGGGCATGTGGAGTTGTTGGTATCATCTTAAAGCTTGTTCATTTGTCAGGCTTTCGGAGAAAACAATACCAATCTATCTTAATTAGAAGGTGAGATATTTACGATTGAAGGAGGTGGGGGTTACCTGGTTTCAGAGGTAAAATTAGTGAGGAAAATGGCCGCCAAAGATTAGATATTTCCTTAGCTTGAGAGTCCGTGAAAACTGAAAATTTACTTCTTTTGTGCCTTTAATCAACGTTTTTCAGTAAAATCAACACTGAAATATGTTTTTTAGTGGATGTGAAAGGTGTGGAGCCAAAATACAAAAACTCTATAAAAATTCACAAACCTGCAGGAAAATGCCAGTTTCTTCACTTTGATTATTCTGATGGGCTCCTGGTTTCACCACGCTGCCCCACATATAGAAAATTGAACGGGGGGGGGGGGGGGGGGGGGGGAGTGGTCGTTTGTACAAGTGATTAACTTGGACGGGTGGCCGTTAGAGCAGGTTTGGTGGGTGGTTGGCGGGTGCTCTGCTGTGGTTTGATTCTTCTTTCCTATCAAACATCTATCATCTTTATCTCCCCTTCCTTCTTTTTTTATGTTTGTTACTCTCTCGTAACACCTCTAATCTTCTGGCGCTCAAATGACCTTATGCAGTTGCGAGCGCCGTAAAACCTCTACTAAAACTTTAAAAAAGAGCAGGTTGGACTTCTGATTAGTAATGGGCATGGTTCAAATCGCCAAGTAGTCGATTTTTAAACTTTTTTTTTTTTGAAGGCTAGCTTGACGAGGCATTATTGACCACTTGAACATGAAGCTATGTCCTGTGTATATATATATCTGTGCTTATCTAAGCTTGTTCTTGTTCATATGTTCTCTTCTTTGTATACCTACATCATAGACAGACCTACATACGTACGTGAGCTCGCACGCTGACATACCCCGACACACTCACTGGCCCACACACTTTCACATTGTATCTCGACTAATGGCTGGTGCCTCTATAAATAAATCATTGATGGTCATGGTCAAGGTCAATCTCGACTAATGTTTAAAGTGGGTTGTAAAGATGCTGACCCTTCAACACTTTGCCATCACAAGGCTCATACAGTAAAAACCCTTGCCATCAAAGTCAAAGGCATTTTTGGGGAAATTCGAAGAAACTGGGTGGTAAACATCGCCGATCGGCGAGATGTGAGGGCAAAGTGTTGGCAGACCTGACATTATTATCAGCAGATGTTTTTAGTCTATAAAACACAATTTTTTATACCTCAGATAAGGAAACAACAACAATGTTTTTATTTTTTTTTTTTTTTTTTTTTTTTTTTATTCTAGGCCAAGTAGTATATCTAAACAACTATCTGACATTATGTTCTCTGCATTCTTGTACTTGTACATCATATGCGAATTGCACAAGTTTTTTTTTTTTTTTTTGGGGGGGGGGTTGGGGTTTTTTTTTCATGGGCAGTGATTTGATACGATTACGCAATACTCTTTATTTTATATAGATAGAAGGTACTCGTATATATAGTATTTGTTGTCCATAACCGTATATAAAATACCTCCTTCATAACCATATAAATATGTCAGCAAGTAGCATTGGTTCTGTTTTGAGAATTGGTCGCTTTTAAGGCCAAGTGGGCTTTCCCGAAAAATGCTGTTTTGAGAATATTGAAGGTTAAGTTTTTGGACCCTTGTTCAGTTTCTTTAAAAAACAAGGAGTCTTTTCTCTATAACAAATCAAATATACACTTGGTGTAGGTCAAGATTTCTGGAAACCCTCGAAATCTGGGTTAGCCCGCTTGTCATTTCCTTAAAAGCGACCAGTTGTGCCCCCCATCATATTCTGTTGCATGCACATGTTGATGAGATCAGAGGTGTACGCAGTTATGTGGACAACACACAGTTCGTTGGTTGTATGTGATAGGCATGGCGGTTTATGAATGTTCTTGCATGTGTTTGCATTTCTCTGATGACGAGACTTTGTCACACTATTGTTGACTTGCCAAGAAAATGAACTGAGGGCCTTAATTTACCACATTCCTGTGCCGTTTTTCCCTTGTCACTGGGCATGTATTCAACAGGGGGAAAGTGCACGTCTTTTTCTTTTTCATACAGCAGGGCTTGGCTTTAGGTTTCAGCTTCTCTTGTCTTTTTGTGTGTGTGTCTGTTTGTTTGTCTGTCCCTGCTTCGCTGTTTCTTTCTTTCTTTCTATCTCTACCTGTGTTTATTGTTCTTCCATCTCATTGTGTCTTCTTGTGTGTGTCTGTCCGTATCTTCTCCCTCCCTCCTACTCTCTCTCTCTTTCTCTCTCTCTCTCTTTCTCTCTCTCTCTCTCTCTCTCTCTCTCTCTCTCTCTCTCTCTCTCTCTCTCTCTCTCTCTCTCTCTGTCTCTTTCTTTCTCTCCCTCCCTTCCTCTCTCTTTCTCTCTCTCCCTCCCTCTCTCTAATGCGGGAGGAAGGTCTTTTTAAATTTAAAGTGACAAAGAAAGAATGAAAAGACAATTTTATAAAGATGAAAATGTGAACAATGAATTAGATTAAGTTTGAATTGAGAGGGAAGTGCAGAGAGTA